AATAATAAAACTTTTTATTTTAAATTTGCAAGACTATAAAAATTTAAGGAAATTTTAAGATACAGAATACAAATAAAAAATTGTGATTTTCATTAAATTCAATCAAATTAACATTTTTTTTCTATCACCGATTCTCTGTTTACAAATTTTTAAAAGACGATATTTAAAATCTGTTCTTGTGATTGGTTTATGACACACTATTCTTAAAACGATCGTAAATATAACAACGAATTATGAACGTCGATCGAACATTGATTGAATTATGATCGTCGACTGAACATTGATGTGTAAAAATTATATCATAAATAGATTTAAAATATTAAAAAGTGATAAATGATAAAACCTAACCTAAATTCGTTATCATTATTGAAAAAATACAATAATTATCGTTTCAGTTAAAAATACAATCGTTATCGTTACAGTTATTAAAAAAAATAAAAAAAACGCCATTATCAGACTATTATCCTGAAAAAATAATTGTAACGGTAATAACGTTACAAGTAACGTTTTATTTTTCAACTTTGAAATGCTAACAATTTTATATGTAAATATGCACATTATAATAGAAAAAAATATAATTTTTTATTTGTTTCTCGAAATACTTTAATATATTCTAACTAAATTTATAACTTTTTGCTAAATTTCTTCATCATTTTTTGGTGAATGAGCTTAAACTCGTTATACACGTTTCTCGTATCTTGTTCATATCCTTTTGACATTGGCTTACCTTTCTGTCTCGTTGCCGTGTATATCGCGCAAACAATACTCGCGTAAGAGCTTTAAAGCCCGAATAAAGTGAAAACGGAGCCGTGACGTGTGCAAAAGGCTCCAGACGTGACAACGCTTCATCCGCACGTAACCAACACACAGCTAGAATATGAAATTTGGTATTCCAGCGAGATTTCACAATGTTCTCGTGAAGGAAGCTTATTCCTCACGTTCTTAATGTAAAAGTACCTATTTTAACGTAATAAAGTATCTCGTGTTTTCCGAGAATAAAATTTCATATTTCTCTAAAAAAAAATAAATAAATATACATATAACATTGATATACCGATGTAATAATTACCGTCTTATATTAAATTTGCAGTTGATCGTATTTCACATTATTTGTTACACCTTTTCATCTCATTTATAACAAACGTAGCCGAAACTTGTTTACACGCAAGCTTAAACGATCTCGTATTCTTCGTGCCGAAAGAAGGAGGAACGGATGATTCATGACGAACACGTTAAAAAAAATACTTGTAATACTTTCCACTTAAGTGTCTGGAGGCTTTCTTTTCTCCGTTACGCATCTGCCGTTAAAGCCCATGGAACATACATCGTAAATTCGCGAAATACCGCGATCGTAGATATCTACATGAATTACGGTGCAAAAATGAAGAGCAGTTATGCTGAATACTGTTGAAAATTAGCCGGCGAGTTTTATGCGAAACGTCCTATAAAAAAAAGTCTCTTAGCGGCATTCTTTTATTCTTCGCGTTAAGAGTATAGATATGAATATTTGATTCTGCAATTATCAAACTCACGCCAATTTTCGTCCCGGTTATTTCGAATTATAAAGCAGCCCCAAATCTTGCAGGATTTCTCTCGCTCTCCAAATTTCTACGAGACTCACAATTTCTGCGCTTGCGGTCATGATCAAGATATTTATGCGCAGAGAAATTTACGTCCAGGTAAGTCCCAACGAAGTCGTTTCGCACGTTTATCCCGACGAAATCGTTTCCATGGATCCTTGATTTATGCTAATTACATATTGCAGAGACTCATATAAGGCGATCGAAGCACAATTAACCAGATAGGCCAGATTTCTCGATGCAAATTCTAAGTTCAGGTCGCATTAAGAAACTCGTCTCTTCGGATATTATTTTTGATGTTCAAGAGAGAGAGAGAGAGAGAGAGAGAGAGAGAGAGAGAGAGAGAAGAA